ACTAGAACGTTATTTAAAAACCTGGATATATCAACGTAAAGCATATTAGATGAAGAAGTTTTTGTAAAATTTGACAAGTTGTAGGTATTTTTTTGTAACCTCAGTAGAACGTACAATCATGACCAAAATTTTAAATTTTGACATGTTCCAACTGATATTGGCTAACATTTTATGTCATTCAGATTATTGCAAAGAAGTATCTTACAGCAAATTTAGCGTTCTTTCAAATGGTGTAATTGGATTTGTTGAAGTCTCAACATTTTGGAAGTTGTAAGCGTTTTTATGTGGTAAGGTAGTGAAAAGTTGAAAAAACCTAAATTGACGAATATCTTCAAAATAGAGAACTTTTCGAAAATTTTCTCTTGAGCATTTTTTGCTCCAAACAAAGAGTAGAATCGATTCCCTGAGTTTCGTCAGAAGGAACTGGGACACCCTGTATGGCAAACGGTGTTTATCATATTAGTGGTTAGATGATGGCCGCCTGGTCACATGACAAAGCACAATCGATTCATTCGAAAAAATGTAGGAGTACGGGTTTTCTATGGCTGAGTCCAATCAATATTATTTTGCTCTAAACTTTGTTCTTGAAGAAATTGTCCAAATGAATCAAAATTTTTATTTAAAACACTGCCGGATCTGGTGAATAAGAAATGTTCTATCCGGTTGGTCGAAAAATTGACTATAAATATTTCAAAAAAGCTTCCCTCTGAAATCCTAGCACATCAACCTAATAAATCATCCCTGAGCTTGTGCAACGTTTTTTGCTAATGAAAGGTGGATTAAACAAAGGCTTTTCTCTTTTTCCTTTATGTCCTTACTTCTTATTTTTTCAGCTAGGAAACTTAGCAAGTTGTTGAAAAGAAATGTGTAAAAAAAAGATGGTCGATAATCCCAATAAAATATAGTTTATATAACTTACTTCCTGTTCACAAAACGGACATCATTATGACAACACATTATGTTTCACAAAATCAACAATTTACAGCATTTATTTTAAAAAAAAATGTTAATTTTAAATGCATTAGATTTCGAGGTCCGATTGGCCAAATAAAATCTTTCAATTAATTAATCCTTATGTAAGGCATTAGTTGAGATATTGTTAATTTTAACAATAGAATGATAGACAGACCGAGTTATATTATAGCGATTATTGAAAAATCGAAATGTTGGAATACGTTCTCGAGACGACTTCCTCCTCGGTGATCATGTCCTGAAGGTGTTGTTTTTGGTGAAATGTCTGATGTTTCAGCACGTCCTCTGTAAAGGGACCGGAACCCGGGTGGGACGGTAATCGCCGTGTCGGAAGGTATCCCTGATTTACCTGCCGTTTTGTCTGTAATCGCCGCATTTGACTAGAAGAAAATTGTTCTTTGCTTTCCGAACGGCCTCGGGACCTTTCACGTCCCGCCGACAAATCGCCTGAACGGTTTCTGCACGTGCTCTGCGGGCTTACATGACTCCGATATTATGAAATTATCAATTTTTAACGAAAATAAACCTGTTTTTCGACCTGTTAGCGATTTGTGATGCTTCATATTTACACGTTGTACAGGGCGTAACTTTTTTTGTGTACCTTTTCTGAGTATTCATATCGTAAAAGTGTGAGATTTCCTCTTGTAGTCTACAGAGGGATGAACATACATAAAAACACGACATTCACTGCCGAAATCGTACACAACGAATTATAAACATCCTAGACTTAGCTACTACAAAAACCGATCACAAGCTCAAGTCGATACATAAAGAAAACCAACTGCAAGAGACATCAATAATAATCGCCCAAACGTACGCAACATGGCACTACTCAAATACACTCCAGACAAAATCTTTACCACTACCTTGAAAGACAAAAAACAAGATTTAAAAAAAAATCATAGCACAAAACAACAGCTACACGGTGGCCGCAACGGTTACGGCTTTGATACGGTGTTCAACTTCATGCTAAGTTCTGATGACGCCTACAACCCGACACGGTATGGTATGGTATGGTGGAAAGGATACTGGGATATTCCCCAGGCACTGCAGCCTTCTGGCTTATTGTACCTTCCCAGTTCCCTAGTTTAGTCAATAGACTCAATCCTTCTTCTCAGAAGTATCAGGTCATTGACTGTTATTGCTGCAATTTGGTTCCGTGAGTCTTTTTCGTACGTTAGGTTAAACCTCCATTGAGCTGTTGCTTCGCATTCGAAGATGATATGAGTGGCTGTTTCTTCCTCCTCATTACATAATCTGCAAATGGGATCATCATTGTATATACCCATGTTGTGTAGATGTTTTCTCAGATACCAATGACCGGTTAGTAGTCCCACCACTCCTCTGAGTTTTGCCCTCTCCAATTGTAGCAGTGTTTTTGCCAATTTTGGTGAGGGTTGTTTCATCATAAGTTTACTATGTCTAGCACCGCTAGAGTTTATCCACTTCTCTCTTTGTTTTGCTTGGATCCATTCTGCGATGGAGGATTCTGTTTGTTTTTGTTATCCCAAGGATAGGTTCGGGGCCTATGAATGGTCTTGCTCTGGCCAGTTTGTCTGCTTCTTCGTTACCCAGAATTCCCCTGTGCCCTGGCACCCAAGATATCATCAGGTTGTTGTGTTTTCCCAGGTTTTGGAGATTTTGGATACATTCACTGACTAGTTTTGATGTAATTCTTTTACATGCCAATGCTTTAATAGCTGCTTGGCTGTCTGATCTTATGAGGATTTTTTTGTCAGTGTAACTCTTTTAAGATTTTCCAGGACACAAGCGTTGATGGCATGTATTTCTGCTTGAAAGACCGAAGTATACTTCCCTAATGAGTTTGATTGCTCATGTTTTGGGCTTGTACAGAAAACGCCTGCTCCGGTTCCTTCGTTTGTTTTGGAGCCATCCGTATACCATATCATTGTATCTGGTGCTTTCCTGTGTTCTTTCTCTCCTTTATAGTCTGTTGAGACTTTATAGGAAGTTGTGAAGATTGTTTCCGGAATCATGTAGTCAGTCCCCATTTTTAATAATGGGTGTCTGATTTTATTGATTATGGTTGTATGCCCGAATTGTTTGGTTCCTTTCCTATTTAATTGTTTTTGGAGCACAACCCGACATACTTTCAATTTTTTTTCAAAAACACCAACACCCGGAGATTGATATGACCTTTCCTTTTGCGAACTCTTGTATAAAACACACAGCTACAACAAACTCAATAAAGCAGAAAAAAGGCAATAGAGAAACAGAACGACACTTCCCAAACAGATATTAGATAAACCACATTTACATACATAGGGAAAGAGACCAACTAACCAATTAATTTCAATAACTTAGGAATAAAAACTGCACTCAGGACCACAAACACAATGGGGGGCGTCGGTGGCCGCAACGGTTTAGGCGTTGACACGGCGCTCATCACTGTAAGGTAAAAGACCCCGGGTTCGAATCCAGCGGCCCTGCATTCAAACCCGACATACTTAGAAATGTGCTTTTTTTTTCAAAAACACTGGCACCCTGATGGTTTATATGACCTCTGCTATTGCGAACCCTCATAAAAAAAAGAACAAAAACACAATTGGAAAACTCCTGATACTTAACGTCGCACAAGAGTAACTCACGAGGCACATGCGAACAGGCGGACAGGGAGAAAAATAAAATATACAAAACAAGTTTAAAGCATTTAGGAACAGCAATGGAAAAATCAAACTACGCAATTCACCTCATACAAAACCCGAACCATCAACAATATAGACCTGATATTATTGTAAATTGGCGTGCAAATAAAGCATGAAAACTAGAAATGTAAAAACGTAAAACATCCAAAATGACGAAACTCACCCGACTAAAGAAAAAACCACTATCTCACCACTAATTATGGCAAAAGGCCTAAACGTGTCTGAGACCAAAATTATCGTAAACGACCAGGCTACCGAGTTATGTGGTTATTGGTGTGTTTCCGATCGTCATGGACCGCTTGATCTCCTGTTTTCAGACAATTTCCATTTCGTCTTTTTCAGTAGAGCTTCATCGATTCACTAAATCGATTAGGATCACTTAACTGGGTCCGTCTATTTTCGTTGATTTCTTACGTTTCGCTCATGCGATTTTTGTCAACACATCTTCAGGTGTTCAAAGCCGCTTTTGAGCTAACTTTAAAATACAAACGAGAATCCAATAAAGTGATCGCAGACCAACCAACCAACACCTACCAACTTCAACCGTTCCGGTGTCTTAGCAGTACGGACAATTCACGTTTTCTATTATTAGCAAAGATTAGCAACCACAACTCTAAATGTACCTGTCATGAACATTTAAAAAATTAAAATTTATATTATTTATAATTTCTAATCAATTGGAAAACGTAACATTTTAGTCACCTAAGTAGTTTTCTCATCTCATATTATTTTTGTTGTATAATGGATTCCTCAAAAACTAAATATTTTAAACTATTATTGTAAAATTATCTTTAGTAGAATAATGAAGTTGCCGAAAGTAAGTATGACACTTTCATATTGAAGGTTTTCTCAGGTTGAAAATCAGTTCACAAACCGTATCATTATTATTAAACACTTTTTACTTGGAAAAGTAAGTAATTAAGACTAATTGCTTCGAAGAGCGTCAGGCATTTCCATGTGGTACTTACAGATTATAATAATAAATTCAGATTTTATCGAATCCGAGAATCGAATAGATTACATGACATTCGAAAAATGGCAAAAAGGAGGGAAAATTCAAAAGGTGGGTTGAGATGGGAAGTTGGTGTCCGAGTGGATCGAAGTAACGATAGATCAAGTGGAAGAGCAGCGGCGTATTTAGCCGAAGGTCGTGGGTTCGAATCCCGCTCGTGACATTGGCTTTTTTATTTCAACCAATACCTTACAGACATATTCTTTGAGTTTACTTCCACGTCAAAGCACGCAATAAGGAACTTTTTCTTTTCAGTCTGTTCATTTTGTTTTATAATTATTATTTAGCATTTTTATATGACCACATTTTTTTAAAATCTTTTATCTTCTATAACATATATTATATTTCAGAATGGAGGAAAAAAAGGAGTAAAGAGACAAATATTCAAGAGAAGAGGCCCAGGTTTCTTCGGACTTTTATCCCAGTTCGTTCGAGAGGTAAGAACTATCGATCTATTTTTGTTAAATGTTTTAAGTAACAAGAGGATAAAATTATAAAGGAAAAGACTACATAAAAATAAGGATCTTTTAAGAAACACCCTTGAGGGACTACGGCCAATTTATTGTACAATAAAGAAGACGCAAGAAACGACTTAACGGCACAGTTGACTTTTTCTTTTGTCTGTTTATGTATGTAATATTATATCCAAGAGAAACTCGGGGTTATTGTAAGATATAGAAAGAAGAGTAACTATAACGAACTGGTTCAGGTACGGTCACCTCTACGACCCCGATAAATAAAACAAAACATTACTTTCTATATCTTCTAATTTGCAGATCTCGCTTCTTAAATATTAACTACCTTAAATTGAAAGTTAGATGCGGATAGAACGTCATATTTTATTTCACTATATTGAATATTTTATTATTTTTACAAACTGAAACGATATTTTCTATTTTCTGACGATTCTAGAAGAAGGATTTCAATGTGGGATCGTAAGTTAACTGATCAAATTAATCAATTAATCAAATATTAATGAATGAATAGTTGTGTGTATAGACGAAACTCTTGCAATGCAATCATTAATTATTTATTTTTTCTTAATTCGATTGAATTTTTTCCAGACTATCTCCGACACGAACTATGCCGTTAGGAATATAACCAATATAATCAACAACGAATTTCCTTCGCCCAGCGCTCAATTAGAAGAGGTAGGTGTAATAAAAATATAAACTATTATTAAAAAGTAGATTTACGAGATGCTTGGCAAACATGGCGAGTTATAAAAGCTACAAAAGCCTGCAGGAAGATTATAATTAGAAAATAGGAAAATAAGTATGTTACGGCCAATGCCGTGGAAAGAAAGAAAAAAATAATAATGAAAAGAAAATGTTAATGAAATGTTAATAAAATAAATTTTTTTAAATTTAATTTATTTATTAAAACTGGTCTTATTAGACCAACCATTAATTTTACTATAATATTATAGAATAAATAAATGTTTACATTCTTATAAACCCATTGGTACAATAAGATTTACATTTCACTATTCACTTTTAACTACACAAGTTCATATGGCTTTGTTCTTTTTAATCTTCTGACCATGTTTCGGTTATGTAAGAGTTTGGTCGCTTCCACATTCTCGTGCTGGCTGAGGCGAGCCTGGTGTTTGGCGGCAAATCTTTGTATTTCCGCCGTGACTTCAGGGATATTAAGATCCCTATGTAAGTCCTTATTCCTTATGTACCAAGGTGCATTGACCATGTAAGATTTTATTTTGGAGTGTTTGTATGATTTTGATATTGTTGTGTTTGGTACAACCCCATAGTTGAATACCATATGTCCACATAGGCTTTATGACTTGTTTATATAATAATATTTTATTTTGTATTGCAAGATTGGAGCCACGTCCTATCAACCAGTATAGCTGTCTATACCTTAAACCTATTTCTGTCCTTTTTTTCTTCACGTGTTCTTTCCATCTCAGCTTGGCATCTAAGGTCATTCCCAGATATTTAGCTGTATTGCTGTATGGTATAGTAGTTCCGTCGATTGTGAGCGACGGAACATGGTCCACCTTTTTGTTTGTAAAGGTTAGATGAACTGATTTATGTTGATTTAGCTTGATTTTCCATTTTTTTGTCCATTCGTGTATCTTATTACATGCATTTTGGAGGATTTTGGTTGAGTGGGTGATAGTCGATCCTAGTGATATCACCGCTGTGTCATCTGCAAACGTTGCAATTTTTACTCCATCTATTTTCGGAAAATCACTGGTGTATAACAAGTAAAGCAGTGGACCTAAAATGCTACCTTGTGGCACTCCTGCATTTATTGTTTTTAATTTTGAATATTGATCTTCTTGTTTGACTCTAAACAGTCTGTCAGTTACGTAGGAACTGATAATATCGACATATTGCTTTGGTAGCATACCTTTTAGTTTATTGATGAGTCCTTCGTGCCAGACCTTGTCAAAAGCTTGTGAGACATCAAGGAAGATAGCAGAACAAATAAATTTTAAAAAAATTCTAAATTAAAATAAATGACGGGAGAGATTTATAAGGGACTTACCACCTTCCTTCAGATGACGGCTGCACGAAGCGTAGAGAGCTCGGGCCCGAATACCCTGACCTCTCCGCAGAATATGAGATGATTTCAGGTGGAAGAGATCGATGTAGAAGCACAGAGGGTTCGCGGAGATTCGCGTGATTTTGGATCTTTTTTAAATTAATAAAGGAGAGAAATATATGAGATTAAAGAGAGGCGTAAGGACACTTTCTTTCCTAGGAGTAGAGCAGGACTGGGGCTGTAAGGAACGTGGGAGTTGGATTAAAGATTACACTAATCCAAAACAAAGCATATTTCTAAAATAAGATGGCTGGCGTCAACAAGTACGTAGCACGGAAGATTCTTCTAATTGTTTTGTTGTCTGCGTACCCAGACTGGAGGACAATGAAAAGGCAGAGGAGGCGTCTAAGGCCGGGACCAACCTCTTGACTTAACCATTGAGATCCGGCTCTCTGACGCTAAAAATGCAATTAAAAACATGATTAAAACAAGATGGGAACGACGGTGGGTCGTTTTGGTTGAGAAGCATTCACCTATCTAGATCACTGTCGATAGGTCCTCGGAAAGAAGAAGAGTCATCGTCACATGATTAACGATAGACCATACGACACACGGAATTTGGGACAAAGGCTGCGAGACGAAGGTTGCTCGATGTGTCCTACCTACTTGAAGGGTGCAATTTCCTTGGCTCTACATAGAGAGCGTGAGAGGAACGCCACTCGTCATGATAATCGTGCTTGAGCACGGCAGCGAGAATCAGGGTCTAATTTTCCATTTTTAGAAGAAAAGGGTTGTTTTATTGTATACAGGGTGGGCTCAAACGAAACAAAAATACTTTGAGGATATATAGGAAATTTCATGCTGAAGAAAAAAAGTTCCTATGAATATAGGTCTTCAAATGAAGCCTTCTAGAGAAACACTCAAAATCTCTAAAAACCGTGTTTTTTAGGTTTTTTCAAGGATTACTCCTAAATGGCTCCATGTCTCCAATACTTATAAAAACCTATTCGAGCATTAACTTTTGGGTAGAATTCGAGCAACCGCACGTTTTTATCTTAATCCGTTGTCGAGATATGATTTTTTATATAATAACCACTTTTTTGTAACTTTTTTACAGTGTTAACACTTCGAAATAAACGTTATAGGAAATTAAATTCTAGGTTAAATGAGTCCAACGCCAACTCATAGGCACGGGAGCCACTATTTTTGGCCAATTTTCAAAGTTTTGACTTGTTAGTAAATCGCTTGGAAGGCTATTAGGTTGGTCTCATTTTACACTGAAAAAACGTTTTTAAAAATTTATTTTGTTTTTCTCAAAAAAATGGTAATTATATTTTTTTTTAAATCATATCTCGGCAACGGAATAAGGTAAAAACGTGAGGTTGGTCTCAATCTACTCAAAATTTAATCTTCGAATAGGTTTTTTCGATACGTATTTTGAGAATGGAGTCATTTTGGAGTAATTCTTGAAAAAAAACCTAAAAAACACGGTTTTTGGAGGTTTTTGCGTGTTTTTTTCACAGAAGGCTTCATTTGAGGACCTTTGTTTATAGGAACTTTTTGTTCAGAAATTTCCACAAACCCTCAAAGAATCTTTGTTTCGTTTGGGCCCACCCTGAAAAGTACCGATAGTTTTGTGTACCAAGTGTTGAATGTGAATGTATTTATTGGCGAGAATGCGTAGTGTGAGAGGGCTGTTGGCGGAATATTGAGTATCCACCCCATCGACTCTCAGTTAGTCAGTTCAGTACTCAGTTTAGTTATATAATATGTGTAGAGGGTGATGGAGGAAATCCAGTACTCACTCCACTAGTCTAATTGAGTGGATGGCATGTAAATAGAAAATAATATATTTTAGAATGAGTAGTGATGAATAAATTCGCATGAGTGTGAATTCGCATGGGTTTGGATCGAACGCGTTGGGTGCTGAATTGGCCCCAGATATTGACCCGAAGCCCAACCTCAATCTTTGCAAATAAGACAGAGGTTTGACCCAGGACTGCCAACACCCGAGGAGGATGATTCTCGAGGCCTGCCGGTGATTTACTGTAAATTACGAAAATTGGAATTGCCGGTGTATTGCGAGAAGTGATAGTCTTAACCCTGCGCATGTGGGCATAAGGGTGACTGGCGATAAGTGTCAAAAGTTTCGGGTGTTTCTATTTACCATATGAAACAAAAACACTTCTTATCGACCCTGCCCAAATCTCAACGGTAAAAAAGTAATTTCAAGTTTTGGTGTTTTTCGACTTAGGTCCAATAAATTGCTTATAAATTTCAGCATTACTGTCTGTAGAAATCTGGTTTGTGCCACCTGAAAGAACGTTAAATCTGCTTAAGAAAACTTATTTACATTGCGGAATTGATGGAAAAGTTTTGCACGAAAAATTCAAAAACAAAAATGTTGGAATTAGGAATTTTTTGAAAATGTTGGATTGGTTAATAACTACAATCATCTGGAGCTTTGCAAATTTCCTTAAACGTTCCCCATTCCATTAGCTTACAGAGGTATACCCAACTTTTTGGATTGCGCTTCTGGAAGGCCCAAAAATGTTGCATCTTGTTGAAAAAACTAGCGTCGATGAAGGCGGGGGTGCAGGCTCTTGAGTTTCGTGTCAGTTCTTTATATTTCCATTCAATCAGTTTGCTTTATGTTATCAGCTGACAACATCCTCAGCTTGGTGATTTAAAATAAATCTTTGTTCCTAATGTACACCTCGCTGATATGCATTTCATTCACGGCTACTGCAACGGTAATGCTACTGCTGCAGGGAGATAATACCATGCTCGATTTCCACATCAAGACGTTCCACCAGATCGCACCTTCCAACGACTTCATCAGAGGCTGAGGGAAACCGGTTCTTTCACTCGAAGACCGAGGAAAGACAATCAGCAAATTGGTGTAGATGAGGAAATTTTGCATTCTGTTAATCGTGATCGCGAAACCAGTACACGTACGTTAAGTACAGACCTTGGTGTCTCACAATGGAGAGTTCCCTCCGTCGGGAAGAATTGTACCCTTACCATTTTACGAGGGTGCAAAGTTTGGAACGAAACGACCACCAGCAGCGATTTTATTTTTTCCTCTTCATTGCTGGTGGTCATTTCGTAAATTTCCACTCCATCAATTCTGCAATGTAAATAAGATTTTTCTACAGATAGTAATTCTGAAGTTTATAAGCAATTTAGTGATCCTAAGGTAGGATGATCCAAAAGCGAAGAAACGAATGAGCACGCGTCCATTAGAACAAATTCGTTCGGTCGTGTTGGGCCGTCTACGGCCGAAGCACTTTCTGATCCAAATAAAGTTGGATTTTCCAGTCCTATTCGGCCGAATGGTTACTTCGACTTCAACTGTCAACCACGTGACATCAAACGCTCACCATTGTTTAACGCCGTTCTTTGCTTTTTGCTTACCTTTTCGTTTCGTTTTCATTTCGATGGATTGCGAAAAATTGATAAGTGCGGTTGAGGAGCAGGCTCTTGGGACATGCGTGATCCACTCTATCATCGGAAAGATGTCCAGCGTAAGCTGTGGTCAAGGATAGCTTTAGAAATCTTCTAATATTTTTGTTTATTTCTTTCATTCCATTTGTATGTAAACTAAGAATTTTCGAGCAGCAACAAATCTTCTACAACCATT